TGAGAGATCCCTACAAGAGGTTACACTGTCAAGAAGGGAAGCTAAGAAGACAGTAAAAAATAAAAAGGATCACCAATAGAGCTGTCACTCAGAGAAAGAGGGGAGGAGGATGAGCCAATGAGTTAGGAAATATGAAGTAGGAGGGAATACGGCAGTCCAGAAGAAAAATATTAGTTATGTAAGATATTTTCTGGCAAGTGAAAAGAAGAGCCAGAGTTAACAAAGCCACAATTGGTATTATTTACTCATGATCATTTTATGTTATATATGCAAGGGAGTTCCTTACCTTGGAAGAATTTGTTAACATGGTACAGCCAACGACAGAGAGGGTAACTTTTCAAATCCATTTCAAAGGTGTAAATGCCAACTAAGACTTATATATGCAGTTTAAGAAAAACTTCTAGCACATTACACAAAATTACCATACTTTTAACTTCTTCTAAACTCAATACCATAATCACCCATATCATATTAGAGAAACTTTGTCTAGACAGATGAATAAACAGCCTGTACTTGCAACTTCTGCCCCACATCCTGGGAGGCCCTTCTCAACTCTTCCTTTTGACTCTACAGCTATGAGCACTGAAAAAAACCCACGTTTTAATATACTTAATGGCTCTTGGCCTGTTCCCATGCTCAGCACTGATTGGTCATCAGACAAATAACTAATACTACATGAACTCTGCATCTCAGCTATAGAGAAGATCAGGGTCATGCTAAGAAAAAATAAGTTTACATTGTTCCAGAATGACGTGGACTATGAAGGTTACAAAAATGAAAGTTGGAGACTTGCAACAGTGCTTAATTCTGGAGCATCTATAATTCCTGATCCCATAGAACGGACCTCATATTTGTTATTATTTGGATGCCCTAGTGTCTGAAACCTCTTCCCCCATCTAGTTTTCTTGGTAGGATTTTATAAAAAGTAAAAGTACAGTATTGCTCTCCCAGTTTCCCTGGTAGCTAGAGTGTGGACAAGTGACCAATCAGATGTACCACCTAATTTTGAATCTGGAGAAACATCATGGAGCACTGAGGTGGGCAATTCTCTCTGGGGTTGGTCACAGTCAGTATTTTATAACTCAGTGAGTATTTTAGAACCCAGTGAGTATTGCCGGCAATGATGGTGGAGGTACAACCTGTAGTGAACAAAGTTTGGTGACTAGAGTGGTGTTCTTACCAGACTGGTTCTGGGTATGATTTTGACCACAGTTCTGACTACTCGATCCTTTTTGTTATGTATGTTTTTCCACCTTGGTTCTCAGCCTTCTTGGCAATTCATGAGCTACACAACATCCTTTCCTTAAAATTATTTTCTCCATTAATCAGCCAGAATCCATTTCTTTTGCCTGCATCTAAAAAGTCTGAGTGATACAATGCT